ATTGGGGATTGCTGCAGATCAGCTTCTCTTTGCATACACCTGGGTTCCCCCTCACAGTAATATGATTGGCTGGTGTCAGCCATAAATACAGATTGATGTGGAGGATGCCTATTGACTTCAACATTGGCTACACCTATTGTCTTCACCTATTGCCTACGCCTATTGGCTACACCTATTGCCTACCTCTACAACGAGGACCAGTCCATGACGGTTACCTTCTAGATTGTCCTACTCGGTTAAAGTAGTCCAAAACCACTTTGCTACTTCGAACAAATATATCCCTTTCCAGGACATATCACTCTTAGATTAAGGGTTCCTGATTGACATTAAATTCAATTCAGGTGTCTGGTATTTCTTGGGAACACATACAACAGAGTTTATTTTCTCCCAAAATGGAAACTTTGGAAATATATATTTTATCTGTCTCAGTTTATTTCTGTCCATATTGTTGTATATATGTCTATGTTTATCTATTCAAATATATCTTACATCATTTGTAGTAAATTTTTAGGAAGAACAGAGAAAATTAAATAATTGTTTTAAAAATAAGGACATTAAATTATTGGAATAAATCAAAATATTAAAGAAAGCTACACAATCAGGTGATTCTGAGAGAATTAGAAGTCCTACCAGGATTCATTATTAGTGGCCACAATCTTAACAACATAAGATGTGAAGATGACACAGTGTTGATAGCTGACACAGAAAGGAAACTACACGCACTCCTACAGAAGGTAGGGAAGGAAAGTAGTGACTAAAGATTAAACATCACTCGCAAGAAGACAGAATGTGTGGTTTTTAGCAAAAGGACCCTGTATAAGGCCCAAGAACCACTCTAGGTAGAGATATACAGAGTAAGAAGCACAGTTTATGGGGATATGTGGTGAAGATAATGGTTGACCTTAGACATGAACAGGTTACTATTGTAGTAATTAGAGAAGCATCCTCTTTGGAGTTGGTTCAGTAAATCAGTGTTTTGTAGGAAAAAGCTGTTCAAGTGTAACTTACATCTCATCTGTGAATTGCAAAGTGAATGAGGATGGTTTGCTATAGTGTGGATGGAATGGTGGGTCTTAGATTAAATATCATTGACTGTCAAGATGCCAAATTAATACATGATCTATTTATTTTAGTTGATATATTTTTCTTTTTGGATGAGCAGTGGCTCAAAATGAGAAATTAGAGAACTGAATCCAAATTGCAGTCAAGTTTGTTACCATTAGATTCACCTATGCATAACTACCCTTGGGAAAGGTATGAATTCATCTCCAGCTATGACAATAGCAGGACAGACTGGGTTCTTTAGCTTTGGTTGGCAACCAGTCTGCCTCAGAAAGAAATGGTAACCTACTGTGGGAAAAAAATCTGCCTCGACAGTCATGTATTGAAAGATACATGATCGCTCAATTGTGTATCAAGTATGGCACTTAACTGACTGAATCATCCTTGATTTTATTTGAATTATGTGAAACACATTCCAATCTTTTTTCTTTTGTTACAATGACGTTCATCCTGTTTATGGTGTTAAGATAATGACTTGAACAGTCTAAGGATGTAGTGATTGGGAGAATCATGCTCCTGAGAGTCGGTTCCACAAAGCAGCGAAAGAAGCTGCTCAAGTGAAACTTACATTTCACCAGTGGGACACAAAGGGAATGAGGGGGCTTCATGAGAATGCGTGTGGCATGGCAGGTCTTAGCTGTGAAAGGTTAGAACTGGTGGAACTAAGGAATGTTGTTTGTCTGAACACTTTCCATGGAAATAGTGATAGTTCAGCGAGAGACTTGCAACATTTCATCTGTAAGAAAGGGGTTATAGGGTGGATAATAATTTGTCATTGACAAGGACGCCAAGACACTTTTCAACTCTATCAAAAATGAAGACTGGGCAGCAGTACTCTATTTTCAGCCTGATCTGGCTCTTGCAAAGATAGAGAATAGCATCAGAAGTCAGGTACCTCGGTAAGTAACTGACTCGTGCTGTTCATGGTGCAGGAAACTGACAATTTTCCTAGTATTTTTAGCAATGGATTGTATGCATGAGGTCCACTTGAGATCTGGGTTGGGTTTAAGGACCAATAGGTACTCAAAGCATGGGGTCTCCTTGCAGGACTATCCATTCATCATGATTGTCAGTTCCACAAAGCAGCAGTTCATGGGAAGAAGATGCTCAAGTGGAACTTGCATGTGACCAATTGAATACAAAGTGAATGGGGATGGTTCGCTACAATATGTGTAATATGGTTGGTCTTAGCTTGTAGAACTGAAGAATGTAGTTTGTCTGTACACTTTCAATGGAAATAACAATGAAGCAGCAAGTATATTCACCTGATCCAAATCAAAACTGTGGTATGATAACATTAGTACTTGTTATACTGTCCACCGTTCTACCACTGAGCAAAACGGAGAAGCCTTTTTAACTTTCTAGTAACAGTAATGATTACTGACATGAAATGGTATCTCACAAGACCTGAGAACTTTTTTTTTTCTTTGGTTACTTGTGAATTTATTTTTTTATTTAAATATACCTTGATAAATTTGTCTTGAAATCTATGTCGTTGGTAGACGAGCATTTCATAGGCCTTCTATTGAGATTCTTTCACAAGTGGCTTTTGATCAAAATTATCTTGAGATGAAATGACAGATATGAAAAAGTGAAAATGCCGAATTAGGCCTCGAGGCTTAATCTTTATTAAGATTTAATTTAATTAGCGAAGGAAATGCTTGTCGGTCAATATTATCATCTCCATCAACCCATCTGTTTGTCTCTTCTTGTCTCGTATTGCTTGAAGCCAGCGACAAACTCATTATTTATGCTAACATCCCAAATCAAAATAAGAAAAAAAGGAAAATTCACGTTAGCTTCTTTCAAAGTCGGAGATCACAAAACGCACAAACTCCAAAAATGTAAATAAATAAAAAAAAAGATAAAAATAATTAGATCTTTGCCAATATTTTAATTTTCGTTTTGATTTTAGAACTCATTTATTCTCTTACTTTTAAAATCTATTTTTTTTTTCCCAGAGATTTGAACGCATTAACCAAGAATTGGAGAAGCAGTTGGATGTCAGAGAACGAACTACCGTACCTTACTTTGATCTGATGGTTTGTATTCATTTTGCTCATTATAATCGTTCATTCCTTCTCCTCCTACTCCTTCTTCTTCTTCTTCTTTCTTCCTTTCTCCTCACACTCCTTCCTTTCCTTCTCCTCCTCCTTCTTCAGCTGCTTCTTCATCTCCTGCTTCTTTTACTTTCCACCTGCTGCTGCTGATTCTTCTTCTTCTTCTTCACCACCACCTCCTTCTGCTCTACCACCACAACCACCATCTTCTTCTTCTTCTTCTTCTTCTTTTTCTTCTTTCCACCTGCTTCTTCTTCTTTTCCTCCTCCTCATTCTTCTTCTCATCCTCCTTTTTCTCATTCCCCAAATTCTTCTTCTTCTTCTTCTTCTTCTTTCCACCTGCTTCTTCTTCTTTTCCTCCTCCTCATTCTTCTTCTCATCCCTCCTTTTGCTCATTCCCCAAATTCTTCTTCTTCTTCTTCACCACCACCTCCTTCTGCTCTACCACCACAACCACCATCTTCTTCTTCTTCTTCTTCTTCTTCTTCTTCTTCTTCTTTCCACCTGCTTCTTCTTCTTTTCCTCCTCCTCATTCTTCTTCTCATCCTCCTTTTGCTCATTCCCCAAATTCTTCTTCTTCTTCTTCACCACCACCTCCTTCTGCTCTACCACCACAACCACCATCTTCTTCTTCTTCTTCTTCTTCTTCTTCTTCTTCTTCTTCTTCTTCTTTCCACCTGCTTCTTCTTCTTTTCCTCCTCCTCATTCTTCTTCTCATCCTCCTTTTGCTCATTCCCCAAATTCTTCTTCTTCTTCTTCACCACCTCCTTCTGCTCTACCACCACAACCACCATCTTTCTTCTTCTTCTTCTTCTTCTTCTTCTTCTTCTTCTTCTTCTTCTTCTTTCCACCTGCTTCTTCTTCTTTTCCTCCTCCTCATTCTTCTTCTCATCCTCCTTTTGCTCATTCCCCAAATTCTTCTTCTTCTTCTTCACCACCACCTCCTTCTGCTCTACCACCACAACCACCATCTTCTTCTTCTTCTTCTTCTTCTTCTTCTTCTTCTTCTTCTTCTTCTTCTTCTTTCCACCTGCTTCTTCTTCTTTTCCTCCTCCTCATTCTTCTTCTCATCCTCCTTTTCCTCATTCCCCAAATTCTTCTTCTTCTTCTTTTTCTTCTTCTCTGTATGATGTCCTTTTAGAATGTGAGTGATTGTGACTCTTCACAACATTCTGTCTTTTATAGCTCCAACTAACTTTTGGCACTTCACCATGTCTCGTTCTAGCTGTGACAACTATTTACTCAAAAACACTAAATAGTTATCCCTGCTGTTTCTCATCTGCCTTCAATATGCAACCCTGTCAGTGTTAAATTCTTTTTTCTTACAATGAGATTTCAGCTGTCTGTTTCTGATTGCAAGTATAAGTGTTCCTTTTTGTTCTTACTTTTTAAAAAAAACTTCTTGCTGGTAGGTTTTGTCCGTAGCCTTCTCAGAATTCTTTGGTAAAGCCACATCTAAGTCACTTGAACTCTCTCCTTCACCTGCAAGGAAATTGACCAGTCCAGTGTTCATTTCTTTTCTTTCCAACAGAATTTTTCTTTGTCTTATTATTTTGCTTTTATTCTGGAAGGCATCTTTTGCTATTCATATGCACCTTTGGATTTCTGTCATATTTTCTGTTGTCTCTTAGACACTACCCAGATATATTAATATCTATAGCAGCCTGATTTTGATGTTGCACACACCTCAGGCTTATTTTTTTTCTTTTCCTTGACAACAAAACATTCTACCTTCTTACAGTTAATAGTTAATCTTATTTATATTACCAAATTTGTCATCAGCTGCAACATGATGGTTAACGAGCTTGTGTTTGAGACTATTTGCTCACAAGGGAAGAAGAAGCTGTAGTCTTGTGTCAGATTAATTTAATGCTTATAGCCACATCATGTTGAAACACTGGTTCCTGTATGATTATGGAAGTTAAGCAACATTGAGCCTGGTCAGTACCTAGATGTGTGATCACTTGGGAATACCACATACTGTAAGTTTAGATGTGTAGGTCATATAATGGATAATGGCTTGGAATTGTTAATCGGAGAGCTGAGTTCCAATTTTTGTTGGGTTCTTTATATTCACTTACACACTAATACCCTTGGAAAAGTTATGAATCCACCTCTTCTCCGCCTGCTATGGGTTAATTCTTAAGACGTATCACTAAATCCTTATTATCTCAAACAAAATTTCTTACAATCTAAAAATATTTTTCTGGCTTTAAATAGCCAAATATCTTCATCTTTTCATTTCAACTGTTATACGTACCAAACTTATTCAGTTTTTTGTCGATCTGGTTACCCTTCAGTGAACTTTAAATTGAACCCTTTATTTAATCAATGAGGGTAGATTTTTCTCATTTCATTTTCCATGTCTTCTTATTTAGTATTGTTCAGTTACTGCTTGCTCTGTTTCAACTGAGTCCAAGAACACACTTTATTGGCACAGGGAATGAACTCACAATTACTATATATTTCTTTTCCCTACTTTTTTCTTTTTTTTTTTCTGATGTCTGTCCATCAAAGAAAATACCTTTTCCTCATTTTTTTTATCATTACTACTTATTTTGGCTTGTTGCTTAGATCTCTGTGTGTGTTTGTGTGTGCATGTGTATGGCAGTAGAACAAAGTAATATCATCATACTTACTGTCCAATATGTCTAGATGACATTTTTCATTATTTACATTAGTCGGACTATTGTCCTCATCTTTGTCGCCATATTTGTCACAACGTTTCGGCCGTTGTACGCTCCGGCCTTCTTCAGGTGGTTGGAATTTCGAACTGAACCCTTTATTTCGATCGCTGGGGTAGACTGTTCTAATTCCACGTGCCATGTTTGATGGATGTCAGTTATCAGTTATCTCCTGCTAATTTTCCCTCTGAAAGTTCTCCACTGCCTTAACCAGGAATTGAACTCACCTTCTTTGGGTCTGTCACTGGATCTAACCAACGCCTTTATAGACAAACTCAGACATTTTTCATATTCCCTTTCTTTTTTGAGTCCTCAGTTGAAAATCCTCTCCAAACTTTTCCACGTTGTATCATAACCCTTATTCTGCATACATTTCCTGGTTAAAGGAAATGGTCAATAGTGCCAAACAACATATATATTGTATACCGGCTTCTTTCTGGGGAGGTCTTTTGGTTGATCAGGTTGATTCTATAACAAACCTGAATTCTTCTCACAGTTGGGTGATCGCTAGTTGTTTTTTTAGTTCAGATGTAAAATGAGAACTTCAACAAAAGGGATTTTAAGCTTATCTATTTTATTAACACATCAACGTGTACATTTTTAACTAAAGAGTCGGGTTGCTCTGTCACCCCCACTGGGGAGCAGTTTTCACACATGAAGTTAACATGTCTGCATTCTTTGACGCGTAAAACTTAACTTTCTACATCTAACATTCCCATGTTCAACTAAGCCAGTCAAAATCGAGATCTCTATTTTGTTTACCAGCTGACCCCAAGGTTAGCCTCAGAAAGTCTGAGCCAAATACATTGCCACTAAAAAATAAGAGTCCAAAACTATTATTTAACAGTTACAGAAATGAAAGAGAACAAGAAAACTTCAGTAGGGAGGATTGAGGAAAGGACAATAAATGAAGAGGATTCAGGAAGACAGAAGATGGTGATTGACACTGAATTGAAATCTTTGAAAATTGTAGGGAAGCAAGAAATTGGAAGGCAGTTCCACAGGTGAGAAGTGCGAGTAAAGAAATTGTTAGAATACATCTCACTAGTTTAATAGAAGAATAGTTAGATCTAGTTATAAATCTAGTAGCATGCTTTAAATTCATGTAGCTGAGGCACTGAGGAAAAAAGCCCATTAGAAGTATCCAAGGATTTTGTTATATATTACTGATTTTATTTGTCTATCTCAATTCATAATGACCTTTTCAATGAAATCACTTTGACACTAAGCTGCATCATTTAAGTACACCATTGTAATTCTGAAACCTTCTCTTTTCATAACAATATACTTTCTTTATAAGATTTTGGTATCATGTGTTAAAAAACAAATCCCCCGAATGTCGAAGATTCTTTTTTTCAATCAGATTGTATTCAATTTTTTTTCTTAGAGCATGCTGCAAATTCAAGTTCTGCCTTCTCAGAAAGTGCTCATGGCGCTGTACTGATTTGAAATGCCAAATGTGAACATGACGCTCTCAGTTAGTTTTTTTTTTTATGAATGTCCTTGAGTGGGATTTCTGGCTAAATTGAAGAATGAATAGTTTTCAGCTCATCATTCAGTAGAATTTTAACCTCATATAATAATAGGTTCTAGGAAGGAAATTGTTGTCTGAACTGTTCTGAATGGCAGATAATTTCAATATTTTTTTCACGGGCAACATCTCTGAATAGAGCATGTACAGAAAAGCAAAACATAGTACAATATGTAACAAGACTTGTAGTGAAGGCTGATAATGGCTAATTGGATGACTGTAATTTGTATGTGAAGTCTAATTTCTCTCATATATATATATATATATATATATATATATACCGGGTGTAACAGTAAAATTGTCCAAATTGTGTAACAGAAAAATTGTCCATTTGTTAGATTAAGCCCTGAACCGTTGTATCTGAGAAATGATTAAAGATATTTTACAGGAATTCTCCAAGGTGCTTATAACACTACTGGACTCTACTTTGAGCAATAAGAATGTATAATTACTTTCCAAGCTTAACAGACGAATCATGAGGAAATCGATCATAAATGAAAATGACATTGATTAATCACAGCTAAGGATAGAATGTTCATGAAGGCTCTAAATAAAGTTCAAATATACATATATTATTCCATGATCATTTTACAAGTTATTCAAGATGATCTTTGCCCTCTCTAACCTTCTAACTTTCTGTTCTGGAGTAACAAGGTGCCTCACAAGTTTCACGTACGATTTCATTTCCAAGTCTGTTTTCACTGCTCTTTGAACTGTTATAGCTGAAACTACTCTCTCACATGCCAAACGTCTTATGGATTGAGTAGGATCTTTTCTAATTGGTCTCTTTAGCTCTGTTGAAATGTTGATCCCTCTTTCTGTTGTCCCCTCCTGAGCTAGTTTTCAATTTTACTGTTACCTTTTTTTAAACTTATTCATTGTTCTCTTGATGGTTCTTGAATGGATTTGAGGATGAAAACCAGTGTGTGAATGTTGGTACCATGGCCTGAATGATCTTTTTCCTCTCACCATTGTGGGAAGACATAGTGGGGATGAGACAAGAAATGGTTTTAACCTGTTCTCTTTGTAGCTGAATAACTCAAAGGGGTTTTCAGTTCTTCTTCTCACAAATGGTATCAAGTTGGCTAAATATCTGAAAGCCATGAAAAAAGAAACTCAATTAGTTTAGTGGTTTTTTATATATTAAACATTTTGTGGGCTGGATAATTATGCTATTACATGATTTGGACAATTTTGCTGTTACATATGGTATATATATATATATATATATATATATATATAAAGAAATAATCATACAGAGAATCAATCAGCAATATTAATGTGATTAATGGTGAAATCACTTCACACTTAGGAGGACATAATGTATGCATTAAAATACTGTTAATCAATTGAATGATGTGATCCTCATTTATAAAACTGTTGTCAGATGTTTCTAGTGTATATTTTTTAAGTTAAGCAAGTACTTTCAGAGTATGAGGATCACATAATTCAATGGATTAACAGTATTTTAATGCATACATTATGTTCTACTAGCGAAGTAATTTCGCCATTAATCACATTAATATTGCTGATTGATGCTATGTATGATTATTTCTTTATATATAAAATATATGCTGCCTAATATTATATATATATATATATATATATATATATATATATATATATATTATTTTATCTTAAACTACAATTCTGGTGGTGTGAAAAATACAGAAAGTACAATTTATGAATAAAAAAATATTAGACAAACTGATATTTAGGAAAAAAATTCAATAAAAAAAAAAAAGACTAAAAACATCCATACTGCTTGAAAAAAATCAATCAGCACTGCAATGATGAGCCAAATGAGAAAAAAACATTGACAAGTGTACCTAAGTTGAATGTAAAAGTGCTCAATACACTAAGTACAGCAAAATTAAAATGCCTAAAGAGCCAGAACCTATTTACCTAGGTTTCATCTACTGGATCATCAGGATAATTCTGATTCTGGCTTTTTAGGTATTATATATATATATATATATATATATATATATATATATATATATAGTTAGTTAGTTTTTATGAAAAACTAGGTAATCCGCATGGGTAAACCTAAGTAGGATAAAATCCATAGAGCTCAATGTAAATCCAGAGCAAATAATTTAAATAAAAAACAGACCACTTTAAGGTTCCATGTAATAAATTATTTCACCACAGCCCTTTTAAAGGACTGTGGATCATCAGACTTTTACTTCCAAACAAAAAAATGAAAAGAAAATTTACACATTTTTGACGGGCCGTATTAAACATGTAAATTAATGAAGTGAGGGGGAAGAGAGAAGACATGAGTGAGTTAGCAGACATTGACGCATTTAAATGGTTAACTTAATGGAAGTTATATATTGATATTGAAGGGGTAGAGGAGAAAAAAAAACCCATAGAGAGAAAAATAGAAAAGGAAGTCACAAGAGAAGGTGTCACTAATTTTCTTTGTAAAAAAAAAAAAAAAATGGCTAGAAACAGACGCTGTTATTTTGTTTTACTTTGAAAGTGTTATTTTGGGGTTTCATAAAGATTATAATGTTTGATATAAATTTGTATGTCTCTAAACTGTCTACAAATAATTTCATTTGATGTTTGTTAGTGATTTAAATTTTTAAAAAATTTTTGGGATTTTCTATGAAATAGTCGATTCGAAAAATATTCATAGAAAGTACATTAAAAGAATAAAATTTTATTTTAAAATATAAGTTTACTTCTAGTAATCATTTTTTAATCTCTTTAAAAATTTGATTGATTATTAAGTTGACATCTCTATCCGTTTGAATTTTGTT